CAACATAAGCTAATCTCAATTTTTTTGTGTCTTGATGAGATATTCTGGTTTTGATAAGACAAGAACTCAGATCAATTTGTGTAAATTTATTCTGGGACTGTTTACAATAAAGTTACAGTTTTTCATCTCTTTCCTGGGTCAGTATCTGATCGAATTAAGGATGTGGTGCTCCGAGGAATGATATAATTTAAATATAGTATATGTAAATATAATATATTTAAATATATCCACAAATTATTTATTTCAGAATTCTAAACTTTTAAATTAACCCTACAATTTATTTATTTATTTTCACAATGCTGTTTAGTGCTTGTGTAACCGTGGGCGGCCAGTTTGTTGAAAACCTCCTGTGATCTGCTCAGCTTCGTCTCCTTCACCTCTCTCCAGGAAGTGTTTACAAGTTCTGCTTTTTTGATCACCAAAAAGACAGTTTTATCACTGCTTTCACCACGTTGTTGTATCGCGAGTTGCGCTTGTATTCCTAAACAAAAGCAGCTCTCTCTAGGAGGAAACTTGCTGTCAGTCAAACAAAGAGTTAATCCACGAGCAGAATTCTGCTGACGTCAAAATCATAAGCGTGCTGTACTCGCTTCTACCCGAACCACCGGAGAGGAGGTTCTGAGACAGTGCGGCTGTGGAGCGCGCTTGGAGAGGCGCTTTGGGCTGAGACCGAACCAAGTCGAACCGCGTACCAGAGCGTCTGTGGAGATTGTGTGCCAAGGCTGTCACTGTTAACAGTGAACACCAGAGGGCGCAAATTAACAGCTTTCTTTGAGGCACCAGAATAAAGCACCGAAATTAGAGTTTTGTTTTGGTCTGTGTACTACCGTGGATGTTCATCCCAGTGCCATACTGGAACCAAGTTTCGGTACCCAACCCTACCTACTGTATATAGTAGTGTTGAAGGCTGACTGAGGCGGGGGCACCTCATTAGGAGTAGTGATGAGGGGGCTGCTCTCGGCTCCTGAGGAGTCTGAGCTGCAGACAGAACGTGATGTGCTGACGTTCTCCTCCCTGAGGTGGATGTGGTCCTCCAAGACGCCAAACAGAGTTTTATCTTTCTCCTTCATCTGTTTCAAAGCTGCTGCATCTATAGGAGGGTCCGCTAACAGAGGAGAGACCCTTCATCCTCTGGGTGAAGTCAGGCTCTGGAGACCTGGGGGTCTTAGGTTTGTTAAGATCCAGTCTCTCCAGAACCGCATTGGTGTGAGCTGCTACTGCAGCACAGATCCTGTCCAATCAGAGCTTCTCTGTGAGCATCTTAAACAAAAAACAAAGTTTATTTCTGCAGCACGTTTAAAAAACCCATAATAAAATTAACTTCAGTAGAAAAATTTAAACTTAAATCGTATCACTGAAAAAAATCGAGCTGTTCTAACTGCTGGGTTTTCAGTGTAGAATAAAACCACTCAGGCTTTGTTTTAAATCTGTTTCACTAAAATCATTTACAACTAAAAATATGAAGTTCAAGAAAAGATATTCTTTCAAACCAGATTTAAATAATCTTAGAAGTTATTATAGTTGGTGCAGCAAAGTTTCAGATTTCCTGTGAAGTTGAGAGCTAAATGACAGCTGAAGTTTACCGAAGAAGCTGAAACTGAGGTGTGCAAGTTCAAAGAAGCTGAACATTAGCTAAAAGATGTCTAATGTTGGCTAAAAGCTAAAACAAGAAGAGCACCAAGTAAAACCTCAAACTAGCAAAATGTTAATAAATAGATAGAATTAGAAATAGATAAAAGCTAAAAGTAAAAAGATTTTAGCTACAAGTAGCAAAATGAGATAAATGTTAAAACGAGCTAAATACTAGCTGAAACACAAAAGTAGCAAACTACTAGCTAAAAGCTAAAAATCAAACAGTGCTGGTTAAAAGCAGTGAATTTTCTAAAAGCCAAAAGTAGCAAAAGGTTAGCTAAAACTAGAAAAGGGCTAGCTACAAGGTAACGGTAGCAAGATGGTAGGTAAAAGCTAAAGTGATTTTGATTATATTTTACTGTTGTTGTTCCTGTTCTTTAATCAGGCAATCAAAAAGTGCATCTTAGCCACATGACGAAGATGTTTATATAATAATAATTCTGTATAAACAAAATGTGTTCTCCTCTTAGTTTGTGGTGTTGATTTATTTATTTTTTTAGACTTTGACACGGTCCTCGGAGGTGAGGTCGGAGGAGTGGAGTTTGGAAACCTTCCTTTTGGAGCCTGTGAGGAACCAATCAGGTAAAAACAAACATTTCTTGTTCTTCTTCTTCTTCACTTACTAAACGGTGAACACACTCCTGCCTTTCCTTTGGGTTTGTTCAGTCCATATCAGCCCAGGTCAGGTTTAAAAGTGTTACATAGTGATTTGACAGAAGTAATTTTATTCTTTATGATTTGTGTTTCACCACAGCAAAACTGTTATGGGTAAACATTTGATAGATTTGTTTTATCTGTAAAATAATAATAATAATAATCATAATAATAAATCATGTTGCTGTTCTTTCTGAGCTGACAGAGTATTAAGCACATCTCTGATTCCATTTTACACCACATCTCATTTGTCTTTGTTTTAATTCAATTCAATTCAGTTTATTTATATAGCACCAAGTCACAACATAGGTTGTCTCAGGGCACTGTACATGAAAAAAAAGAACAATCTAAAGAAGAAACCAGCAGATTGTGTTGAATCACTTCATCACAGTCTCCCATCCTGAGCAAACGGTGGAGAGGAAAAACTCCCTGCTAATCAGGAAGAAACCTCCAGCAGAACCAGGCTCAGGACAGGAGACCATCTGCCTCGACCGGCTGGTTGAGGGACAGGAAAGAGACACAGACAAACACAGAAGAACTGGTCCAGGACTGGTCCAGGTGCACCTTCTTCTGGAAGAGACAAAGAAAAAACATGATAGAAATAATTACAATAAACATGTAGAGAAGAGAGACTAAAGACAACAGCAGAGTGAGGAAATGTGCTCAGTTTGTGCTCCAGCAGTCTAAGTCTATAGCAGCAGAAATGAAGAATAATTCAGGAAACCTAAGTCTAATTTTAGGATTTATGAAAAAGGAAAGTCTTCAGTCTAATCTTAAAAGTAGACAGAGTGTCAGCCTCACGGACAGAAACTGGAAGTTGGTTCCACAAGAGAGGAGCTTGATAACTGAAAGCTCTGCCTCCCATTCTACTTTTAGAAACTCCAGGAACCACAAGTAAACCTGCAGTCTGAGAGTGAAGTGCTCTGTTAGGAAAGTATGGAACAATAAAATCTTTAATATAAGATGGAGCTTGGTTGTTAAGAGCTTTGTATGTTAGGAGTAATATTTTAAATTATATTCTGAATTTGGCTGGGAGCCAGTGGAGAGAAGCTAAAACTGGAGAAATATGATCTCTTCTTCCAACTCTCATTAAAACTCTAGCAGCAGCATTTTGGATTAACTGAAGACTTCTTAAAGAGTTTTTTGGATGCTCAGATAATAAAGAATTACAGTAATCCAGTCAAGACTTGATAAATGCATGGATCAGTTTTTCTGCATCATTTTTGGACAAAATGTTTCTAATTTTAGTGATATTATGCAGGTGGAAGAAGGTGGTCCTGGTAACATTTTTAATGTGGGGGTTAAAAGACATGTCCTGATCAAAAATAACACCAAGTTTCTTTACATTAGAACTGGAGGCCAGATTAATGCCATCCAGAGGAGCTGAAAGGCTACAAAGTTGATCCCTAAGATGTTCAGGTCCAAAAACCATGACCTCTGTCTTATCTGAGTTTAGAAGCAGAAAGTTAAGAGTCATCCATGTTTTTATGTCTGTAAGACATGCTTGTAGTTTAAGTAACTGGTTGGATTCATCAGGTTTTGTGGATAAATGTAACTGAGGATCATCAGCATAACAATGGAAATGTATCCCATGCTGTTTAATAACTTTACCTAATGGAAGCATATACAAAGTAAAGAGGATTGGTCCAAGCACTGAACCCTGAGGAACTCCATGACTAACTCTGGCGTAAGAAGAAGATTCATTATTAACATTAACAAACTGAAATCTATCAGTTAAATAAGACTCAAACCATTTTAGAGCTGTTCTTGTAATCCCAATATCAAGTTCAAGTCTACGTAATAAAATATTGTGATCAATTGCCTATACGCCACGGACATCTGGCCCAGCACTGGATGCCACTCCCAGCACTTACGGTTCACGGTCAACACAGTGTTAGCGAACGATTTTTTTCACTCGACAACGACTCTTAATGATCTCCACAGTACAGAATTATCATATTACATGTACCAACATTAACACAGGAGACGTACAGGTCCAGCCAAGTAGAAAAAAATCACTCCAAAGTGAATTAAAGCCATAAAAACAAAGGAAAGACGTTTGTGTTTATGGTTCCAGAATTTAGCCTTTTTTGCTATTCCGTGGCTGCTTGTTCCGTGAATTTTTCACATAGAGCTGTGACACTTATATTGTTGGAAAGAGCAGAGTCTGGGCTTTAAACTGATGAGCTACTTGTATGGTTTGGATCATTTTCCCCGACGTTAGTGAACTGAAAACGTAATGATTATCAGGCGGAGGTTCTGCTGCTCTCGGTCCTCGGGGGGAGGAGAGGGGGCGCTCGTCACTCGGCTTTAGTCTACACTGTAATATACACTCTAACAAGGTTTTACTTTTGCATAAAACTCATGACAAAGTCGCATAAAAACATTTCATATAACACAAATGCGCGCGCGCACACACACCTACCTTTGTACCGTCTGCTGTGTTAGCTTCCTGCTAGCTGCCGTGTGAAGGAGGTCTTTCCTCTCTCGTCTTGGCAGTAAAAGGGGATAAATGTACATTTCTCTTTTTGTAACCTCCGTCTTCTCATTTCTGATGCTGACTCTTGAATATCCTCAGGTTAGAAATGCTGATTACAAACACAAGTGTGAGCTTTTAAAGATAAGTTTTCCCTGTAATGCTATGATCCTCTGCTGTCACCTCTTCATCTAAAGGAAAAAGGAGAAAAACTAACTACTCGATTGTATCTGCTGCTTAGTGGACACATTTTATACCAGTAGATCACAGATGCTTTAACTTTTGTGACTTTTTCACGGTCTAGTACTAGGAGCTAACGGTAAAAACATACGCAGTAAGCAGGGAGTGGAAGGGAGGAGCGTGGCAAAAATTTTACCGGAAATACGTCACTAATGACCGTGGCAAATAGGCTGTTGTATCAAACTGAGATCTGTATCCACTGAGATCTAACAGGACAAGAATGGACACAAGTCCACCGTCTGAGGCCACGAGAATATTGTTAGTAACTTTCACCAGTGATGTTTCTGTGCTATGATGAGCTCTAAACCCTGACTGAAACTCCTCATATAGATTATTTCTATTAATGTTCATGTAGTTGATATGCAACTATTTTCTTAAGAATGTTTGAGATGAATGGGAGATTAGATATAGGTCTATATAGGCCTGTCGTGATAGCCAATAAATCAATTAATTGCACGATAAATTATTTTGAGGTCGGTAAAAAAAAGAGGACGATAAGTTTCATTTTCCTGCTTGTTTGTTTACTTCGTCTCTCTCCCTCTCTGTGCTCCGCTGCACAGGAGCTCAGCTGCTGAGAGAGGTTTGCATTAAAGTTGTAATATTATCAACAAGACCATCTAAGTGACTGTTCTCTGTTACAGTAAGACAGAGGAAAATAAAGATGGAAGAAATTCTTTAAATTTAGCTACAGCATTCTCTGATAAACATCTACTCTAAAGAAGTTTACTCTCAGTAGCTATAAAGTTAGCTAATGTAAACTCATTTATTCATTTCATTAAAAAACAAACAAAACATTTCACACAATAAAACAATACAATTAAAACAAAAAGGTTATTAAAAATCGTCAGAGAGAATAGGATTGTGATGGTATATCATTAAGTTCTTGCTCTCTATACCATACATCAGAACCACATCAAGAGTGTGACGAAGAGAGTGAGTAGGTCTGTGGACATTTTGAGTAAAACCAATTGACTCAATTAAATTACTGAAAGCTATATTTAAGCTATCACTTTCATCATCTACATGAATATTAAAATACCCCATTATTAGGATTTTATCAGTTTATAATAATAAATCAGTCAAAAAAACAGAGTTTTGATTATGAGTCAGTCCAACATGTCAACCACAAACAATAACAAGTTTGTGATATTTGACATTCAGGTGAATTTTCAGGATGAACCTAAAATAGGGCTGAGCAATATGGCAAAAAACATTATCATAATTAGTTTTTCCTATCGTCTAATGTCAGTTATTATCACAATTATTTTATTAACCTAAAAAGTGTGTAATTATAAAAGGGCTGAAATTTATGTGTAAATCAAAGAATCTGACATTAATAAAGTTATCCTTTTGCAAAAGTTTTAGAATTGAACTTACCATTAAATATGTCATAAAGAAACATAAACCTACAAATGGCAACATTTTGTGCACACTTGCCAACTGAAGAGGATCTAAGCTCATTATTTACTTTT